CCCAGCATCTTCAGGCCCTTTGAATTTTGCAAAAGGGGAAAAAAAAAAAAAGAAACACTAGACAAGCTTCAAGTGGACAAAAACCAGATGCCCCTGGCTTATTGTTCAGTGAGAACAGATGTGGGCTGAGCGCCTCGTCGAGGTGATGAATGGTGTGCGGGCCTCCCCTCACGGCTCCCTGGCTAGGGCCAAAGCCGTTCCGTCCCGCAATGAGTTTGGGAGCCCTGGCCACCTGGTAACCGCCAGCCTGGACTTGAGGTCTGAGGGCAGTGGAGGCAAAGGTTAGGAATCGGGCTCACGGCCAGTAGGCCGGTCTCAGCGCTGGCCCAAACAGTGGCCCGGGGCCTGTGGGCATCGCCCGTGCGCAGGCATCGCCCATGCAGTCTGCAGTGGGCGCGTCCCTCGCCGCGCTCAGTTCTCTCCAGCACCCCCACAGGAACGGCGTCACTCCCGTCTCACAGATGGGGAGCCTGAGGCCCAGCGGTGCAGCTTCCCCGAGCCCCACAGCGAGAGGCTGTCACAGCCGGGACTTGAACCCAGGTCTCATCTCATAGGGGCTCTCCATCTGGACCGGGAGCGGCGGCAGCTTCTGCCCAAGGAGACTGAGGGTCCTTGTCTTTCCCTCCCCAGAGACATGTGCGGTAAACAACGGAGGCTGTGACCGGACGTGCAAGGACACGGCCACCGGCGTGCGGTGTAGCTGTCCTGTCGGATTCACGCTGCAGCCAGACGGGAAGACGTGCAAAGGTCAGCAGCGGAAGCCCACGGGTGCCTCCGCCTGCGCTCGCCCGACCCGGGAGCAGGCGGGCACAGGGCCAGCCGGCAGGAACAAGGGTGCTCAGTAAAGGCTGTCCTTGCTGTTGGAGGAGCAGTCAGCACCTGGGCCCAGTGGGGTTCAGGAGAACGCTGGTTCCATGACACCCAGGTGGAGCCTTGGCCAGAGGTCTCTGTGAAAGACCGGGGCAGCATGCTGGTTAACGGCCAAGCGAGTGCCTCCTGGGGGACTCGCGGCCTCCCACGGTGGCGTGTGCCGGGCTCCTGGCATCAGGCCGTTAGCTGTAGCAAAGAGCTAGTGAGGACAGCCTGGGCCGGGGCCATTTGGGAAGAGGCAGTCCACTCATAGCCTGGGGGGTCACTGCCATTGTCCCTGGGAGAGTAGAGATGTGGGGGGTCCCAGTTGAAGGCACGGGGTACACAGTGTCTGTGTACCGCTGGGAAATGAGCTAGGAGGCTGGGAACAGAGGGGCGGCTGGCCTGCTGTGGGAGAAGGTAGAGGCTTCTTTCCCCTTACCCCGGTCCACACCACAGAGAGCCCAGTGCCTCCTGGGATCTTGGGGACCCCTCAGGGGCATGGGACGAGGAAGGGTGGCCACACACTAGAGACAGGAGTTGGGGGCAAGGGCCCCAGCTCTGCCAGTGCGAGGGACCAGCCACCCCTCAGAAGTGGCAAGCGAAGGCTTGGGGTGACCGACCTCAGGGGCCCAAGGAGCAGGGCAGGAAGTGAAGCCCCAACACCCAGGCAGCATTCAGCACTCCCCGCTGGCTCCAGGCCACCTTCGAACCCTGCTAACCCTGCTGTCCTCCCCACACCTTGCCAGGAAGAGGCTGGGCAGAGGAGAGGAACCAGAACTCCCGAGTCCAGACAGTGGACGCAGGCGTGTGTTGACAGAGTCTCGAGGCGGACTGGTCTCCCGCCTGTAAGAATGGACAATGCATGGCTTCCTCCTAGCCAGCGCGCAGTTAGAACCGCGTGGCTATTGGCAGAGTAGTTCTTCGCCTGTTCTTTGGAAATAAAGCCCTTCCGTAGCCACCACGCAGCCTGTTCATAGCTTTGGGTGTTCCCGGCTGGCAGGCAGGCAGGTGGGTGGCGTCTGAGTCCTTGCCACGTGGACTCGATGCCAACCGTGACTGGCTAAGGGGGCCAGGAGCTGTGCAGGCCCCCAAGGCCCAGTGACGTCACAGCAGCCAGCCACTTGCCCTCAGACCCTAGGCCGGAAGAGGGAGGTGCAGTGCTGATGCACAGCCGGAGGCCAGGGCAGGGAGCGACTGCTGAGGTGAGGACAGGGCCGCCGGGAGTGGGAAGCTGGAGGCCAGGAGGGGGTCTGGGCAGCCACATGGCCAGGCGCAAGCCAGGAGGTGCCTGCTACCACCCCCGCCCCATCCATGGTAGCCGCTGGGCCTCAGGCCCTTGCTGATGCC